CAATACAAGCTATCTGCTGTGGAGAGCTGCGGGAGCCGCGCCCAAAGACGGCATGGCCGCAAAAGCAACATTGTAGCTGGCGCAGCTGCGACCAAAGATGGCGCTGGCTCCCGCCTTCCGCCTTCCGTCTTCCGGGTGAGGAGTGCTCTCTGTAAAAACAACTCCTTATATGGCTATGACTTGGCTCCTAGTTTGCTTCCGTGTTTGCAGCCCTATCGGTATATGCCACGTGGCGCTTCGGGATTGGCCATCCAGGAGGCTTGTAACTGGAGCGCGGGGGCGGGGGAGAAGGAGAAGCAGGAAGAAGCCAGCGGGAGAGAAGCTTGTAGCAAGGTCCTGACTAAACCGCATTGAGAAGAATCCTGGGTCGCATCTTCCTTGCTGGTCGAGGTGGTCGCGACAATCTGCGTTCTCAAGGATGAGAAAAACTCATCTTCTTCTACACACACTGTGTGCATGTGTGTGCATGTGTACACGCATGATTTTACCCTTTCAAATCATATGGTTGCTTACAAATGCAATCACCACTTATAGCTTAAGGTTTCTGATTGGAGTCAACTAACTCAGGATGTCATTGTCCCTAAGCTCTAAATCACGTGAACTGTGACAAAGCTAAGGAAGGACAGAAAAGAAACAAAGAAACTGGGAAAGCAATTTATCCTAAATAATGTCATGATTTCCAGGAAATCAAACTTGGGCCTGTGGGAATTAGGTATTTCAGTGGTACCAAACATTAAATAAATGAGATCATTTTAAAATGTGTATAATAAAAGCAGCACGCAAATGGCATTGCAGTTGACCACACATTGGGCCTTTCTGTAATCAGGCTACCTATTTGACTATAACAAACTCAGAGATTTTTTAACCAGCCACATTTCTCATCAGGGATAACACTTCCCAGCTTCCCACAGAGCGAGTCATGGTCATTGATTGGCTGAACTAGTATAGCAGCTCCGGTTCTCTAATATTGGCAATTTTCAGGCAATGCATTTATTTTAGTTTCTCCTCTGAAGTGATGGACTGATGCAACTTTAAAAGTCCAGACAAGAGAATTCAAAATACACTGTGGTTAGTGACAGTTACATTTCTACTATCACCTAGTTAATTTGAATGTATGCAAACCATTCATGAGACACACAGAAAATGCAAAGAAATTGATTGTCAAACGTTCTAATAGAATTGGTTTTAATTCACTTAGTGCATTGTAAAAATGGTAAAAAAAAAAAAAAAAAGGAAAATTTCATAATCTCTTGAAGGATGTTTGTGGATGTTTGTCTTGTTTTATTCTATTTGATTTTACTTGAGACAGATTTTCACTATATAATCACAGGTAGGCATTAAACTCAGTCTTCCTGCCATGGCCTATTCCAAAGCTGATGCTAAAGGCATGGGGTGGAGGGTGACACTCTTAAAAAAGAAATGTACTTATTACCTGAATTATGTAACTGTAAGCCCTCTCTATATAACCTTCATAATAGAAATTAAAAATAAAAAGGCATGTACCACCATACTGGTTTAAGAGTAGTTCTTTATTTTACTCAAATTAATTCCCAGTATTTATGACAGAATGAGTTTCAACAGATTAAAATTAATGAACCACTGTTAGATAACATTTTTATAATAATAATTAGTGCTTCTTAAAATGAAAATGAACAGCTGAAAAATATATTTTGATACATGTCAGAGATTTTCTCATATCTATGTTACATATTTTCCAACTCTACTAAAAATTCAAGTATGTTCTTGATACAGTTTTATCTTTTCTCATTCATTTACAGTAGACATTTTCTGAGCAATGAGAATCTACATGACAACAAATCAAAAAGACAAGTGCTTGCCCTATTAGAGTTTACATGCTAGTTTTATCGCATTGGCTAAATATTTAATAGCATTTGACTTGATTGTAAAAGTTATGGCTAAGTTAGATTAATATTTTGTTTTGTTATGGACAACACTCCTTTTTGCATTTATAAATACATACAATAGTGTTCAGAGACAAACACTCTAAACATCGAGTTCAGATTCTAACAAATGAAAGTGAAATCTACCTTCCAGCTTCTATGGGCAAATTACAGTGATGTTGAGTTCATTTATTTTCTAAGATTCGACAGTCACTAGTCAGTGAGCTGACTCTCACTGTTAGATCATGTTTCTCTATGTTGACCTAAAGCTTTTTTCTCCATAATTTCAAGTTATAGGCTCTGATAATGTTTTCTAGAGATAAACACACAAACTACATTCTTCATCCAAATACTACTACATGAAAATGTACCTCATGACTCAAGGTTGATTTTTTGTTTGTTTGTTTTTAGGAAATCCTTCTTTATTGTGTGTGACGGTTTAGGGGCTTGAACTCAGAACTGGTGCTAAGCTTTTGTGCTCAAGGCTGGCACTCTACCACATGAACCCACTTGAAACGCAGCTCCACTTCTGCCTTGTTGGTGGTCAATTGGAGATGAGAGTCTCTCCGATGTGTCTTCTGTGAGTGGCTTCAAACCAGGATCCTCAGATCTCAGCCTTCAAAGTAGTTAGAATTACATATGTGAGCCACCAGCACCATGCCTGGAAAATTTTAAAGAATCAGCTAGTTGACATTTACATCCATGATGACTATTTGTAATGACAGATGTAAGCAAAGAATACTCTCTGCTGTGAGGCGTGACTGCAGCCTCCTCATGGCTGGTATTCTGGGGCAGCATTGCCCCCTTTCCAACTTGCCATTTCTATGACCAACTATTTCTGTGGAGAAATGCATTCTCTCTCAAGAATGGCTGTACTTTTCTGGTCAGAACTCCTGACTGCTTTAAGGGGTAAGAGTTGTCCCACTCTCTTGATGAGAAAGAAAATGGTCTGGTTTTCCTGTTTTGTCACTGTTTTGGGATGTCTGTACCTTTCATCTTATATGTAAATTTATTTGATTTGGAGAGAGGAAGGGGAAGCACAGAAATGGTGGGAAAAGGTTGAACTAATTCATCAGTGATACTCACTAGTTACTATGTTGGAAATGAACTATACAACTTGGCGGGCAACAGGTTGGGAGGGAAAAAAACTGGGAGAAAATGTGGGAGAGGATGACAGTATTCAAAAAGAAATGTATTCAATACCTGAGCTATGTAACTGTAATCCCTCTGTACATCACCTCTGCAATAAACACTTCTACAAAAAGAAAAGAAAAAAGAAATAATGAGGACCATGTAAAGTGTAGTGTGTGAGTCTAAGGGGAAATCACTAGTCCTACAATCATTTAATTAAAGTCACTCTATAAGTACTATACACTTTTAAAATATAATAGGCAAGAGGAACTACATTATTTAACTTAAAAATATTTATGGTCTATGAATTATATCTCAATAAAGCTATTAATCAGAAAATATAGTGGGGAATATTTGGGAAGCAAAGTGAAAGATACTTAGAAGTCAATTAATCAGAGACCAAACAAACCATGGTGTTAAAAAAAAATACTGATGATTTAACTCAGAATGCATTCGAGAGACCTACATATTAACAAGATGGAGCACCAAGACAGGTTACTGCTTGGTACTAGAAAAAGACAATTCCACAAGGACATAGAGCAAGAGTCCAATCTCTAGGTAATAGCAATGGTGTAACAAATCCAGTCAAGGATGGCAGATTTCCCATCCAAGCAAACACTGCAAACTGCCCATGGTGCATATAGATGAGGAGTGCAAGAACATTTCCCTTGAGGACAGGATCTGGAATCCATCAAGAGCTCTGCAGTCTTGCACTCTTTGCCAAATTCCTCCAAGAGTCCACTGGACCTTAGCTCCTGGCACAGTCATGGAAAATATCTAGGCTTGGGTGGAGTGGGGAGGGGAGAGAGGGGAGACAATTAAAAGCACGTACCCTATTGGGAAGTAAAGGGTATTGAACAAGACACATATTCACCTCAACACAGAGGGTTTCACCAATATCAAAGGCTGCAAACTAACTCAGAGACAAGAACTCTAAAATAACAGTGGTGTCTGATCTGGAGTCCTGTGAGAGCTGGGGTAAGCAATCAAGGTGGTGAGAGCTATTGTACTGGTAGGTGAAGTACTCAGTAGAGGTGACTATCATGACGAGGGCCTCATGGGAGTGCTGAAAGTAAAGCAATTGCAGCGTTGCCATTGTAGATTTGGTGGACCCTGTAGTAGCAGTCCTTTTTGTACCCCCAAAAGCACTGGCAAAAGTAGTGGTGGTTCATTCAGTTGGAGTGGTGGCTACTGTTGTAGTAAAGGGGTCAGGGGAGATGGTAGAGACAGCTGATGTCATTGCAGTTCTATGGTAGGGCGTGCCATTATAGTAGTTGGTTCTGTAGCGGTCCTGGCTGCCATTGCAGTACTAAGTTCAGTGGTGATAACTGATGTGGTAGAGGATTGCTGTCAGTGATTGTGGAAATCAGTTGAATTAAAGTGGTGGGTGATGTTGGAGTAAGGGACTGAAGGGAGACAGCAGTGGCAGCTAATGTCGAAGTTCATTCAGTGGAAGTGCTTTCAGACAAAACAATTGGTTCTGTTAAAGTTACTACCTACAGTGCCAGTAGTTGATTCAGCAAATGTTGTGCTGGCCGATAAGTTGTGGGTCTTGTACTGGTGGCATATGGTTCTGATTAAATGGTGGTTGCTGTATTTTTGGAAGGTTAAGGGAGCCGGTACTAGTCACTACTTTGGTTACAGCTTCAGAGGAAGTGCCTATACTTGTTGTTGTATGTGGTTCAGATGAAGCAATGGGTACAATTGTGGTTGTAGACTCTGGAGAATTAAAAGTAGTGGTCATTATTGTAACTGTAGCCAAAGTGCTTAAACCTGTAATAGTTCAAAGGAAGCTGTGGATTTGTTGCAGTTGGATGGAGAAAGTAGTGCTGTTAGATACCCACTATCTACTTCCCAATGCACTAGTCATTTCAGATGAAGTCGTCTGTAGCTGAAGGTTGATTAAAGATTGTAGTAGCTGATGTGGATATAGATTCGGGGGAAGTGTTTTCCATTGTGTCAAGTAGCTCAGATGAAGTGGTGGCTGTTGTTGAAGAAGATTGAGTGGAAGATACCCAATATAGACGTAGCTTCAAGGGAAGTGCTTGCAGTAGTAGTCATTGTTTCCATTGAAGAGGTTGCAGCTATTGATGCAGAGGGTTCAGTAGAGAAAGAAGCAGTGCTGGTTTGTGTGGTTGTAGCATCAGAGGAAGTGTCCACTGTTGTGGTGATATCTTGTTCCGATGAAGTAGTGGACACAATTATGGTTGTAGATTCTGGAGAATTAGGACTCACAGTCAATGCTGTAGGTGCAGTGGAAGTGCTTACACTTGTAGTAGCTGGCTCAGGTGCAGTTGTTGATGCTGTTGAACTGGAGGGTTTTGTGGAGGAAGTAGTAGGGGCCAATGTAGGGTTAAACTCAGTGGAAGTGCTTCCAGTTGTACTGGGCATTTCAGACGATGCCGTATGTCCTGTTGTAGTAGAAGGCTGAGCAATGATAGTGGTGGCAGGTGTGGAGGAAGAGGTAGTGGAAGTGTTTTCAGTTGTAGCAGTTGGCACAGATGCGGTGGGGGCAGTTGTTGGAGAAGATTGACCGAAGACAGAAGTGATGCCCAGTATGGTGGTAACTTCAGTAGAAGTGCTAGCACTGGTAATAACTGGTTCAATGGAAGAGGTTGCCGCTATTGTTGAGGTGGGTTCAGTAGAGAAAGTAGTTCTGGCTTCTGTGGTTGTAGCTTCAGAGGGAGGAACGATCATTGTGGTGGCTGATTCTCTTGAAGGAGTGGCTGCACCTGTGGTTGTAGATTCTGAAGAAGGAGGAGCGGTCATCACTGTGGTGGAAGTGCTTACACTTGAGTGAGTTGATTCAGATGAAGCGATGGGTGCTGTTGTCGTAGAAGGCTGAGTGGTGACAGTGGTGGTGGGCCCTACTGTAGATTCAGCACTTACAGTGGTAGCGATTGGCTCAGGTGAAGTGGTAGCTGAGGTTGCTGTGAGGGGTTTAGTAGAGGAAAGAGTGCCAGCTTCTGTGGTTGTAGCTTCAGAATAAGTGCCTATGGTTGTGGTGGTGTCTTGTTCCGATGAAGTAGTGGACACTGTTGTAGATTCTGGAGAATTGGGACTCGCGGTTGTTGTAGCTTCAGTGGAAGTGCCCACACTTGTAGCAGGTGGTTGTGATGCAGCTGTTGATGCTGTTGAGCTGGAGGGTTTTGCGGAGGAAGTAGTAGTTGCAGGTGCAGAGTTAAGTTCAGTGGAAGTGCTTCCAGTGGTACCAGGCATTTCAGATGGTGCCGTGTGTCCTATTGTAGTAGAAGGTTGAGTAGTGGCAGCAGGAGTGGAGGTAGAGGCAGTGGAAATGTTTTCAGTTGTATCAGTTGGCACAGATGAGGTGGGGAATGTTGTTGGAGAAGATTGGCTGGCGACAGAAGTGATGCCCAGTGTGGTGGTAGCTTCAATGGAAGTGCTAGCACTGGTAGTAATTAGTTCAAATGGAGAGGCTGCTGCTACTGTTGCAGTGGGTTCAGTGGAGAAAGAAGTAGTTCTGGCTTCTGTGGTTGTAGCTTCAGAGGAAGTGCCTATTGTGGTGGTAGCTGGTACAGATGATGTGGTGAACACACCTGTGGTTGTAGATTCTGAAGAAGGAATACTAATCCCCGTGGTGGTAGCTTCAGTAGAAGTCATTATATTTGTACTGGTTGATTCAGATGAAGCGATGGGTGCTGTTGTCGTAGAAGGCTGAGTGGTGACAGTGGTGGGCACTACTGTAGATTCAGCACTTACCGTAGTAGCGATTGGCTCAGGTGAAGTGGTAGCTGAGGTTGCTGTGAGGGGTTTAGTAGAGGAAAGAGTGCCAGCTTCTGTGGTTGTAGCTTCAGAATAAGTGCCTATGGTTGTGGTGGTGTCTTGTTCCGATGAAGTAGTGGACACTGTTGTAGATTCTGGAGAATTGGGACTCACGGTTGTTGTAGCTTCAGTGGAAGTGCCCACACTTGTAGCAGGTAGTTGTGATGCAGCTATTGATGCTGTTGAACTGGAAGGTTTTGCGGAGGAAGTAGTAGTTGCAGGTGCAGAGTTAAGTTCAGTGGAAGTGCTTCCAGTGGTACCAGGCATTTCAGATGGTGCCGTGTGTCCTATTGTAGTAGAAGGTTGAGTAGTGGCAGCAGGAGTGGAGGTAGAGGCAGTGGAAATGTTTTCAGTTGTATCAGTTGGCACAGATGAGGTGGGGAATGTTGTTGGAGAAGATTGGCTGGCGACAGAAGTGATGCCCAGTGTGGTGGTAGCTTCAATGGAAGTGCTAGCACTGGTAGTAATTAGTTCAAATGAAGAGGTTGCTGCTACTGTTGCAGTGGGTTCAGTGGAGAAAGAAGTAGTTCTGGCTTCTGTGGTTGTAGCTTCAGAGGAAGTGCCTATTGTTGTGGTGGTAGCTGGTACAGATGATGTGGTGAACACACCTGTGGTTGTAGATTCTGAAGAAGAAGGAATGCTAATCCCCGTGGTGGTAGCTTCGGTGGAAGTCATTATACTTGTACTGGTTGATTCAGATGAAGCGATGGGTACTGTTGTAGTAGAAGGTTGACTGATGACAGTAGTGGTGGGCACTACTGTAGATTCAGTGGAAGTGCTTACAGTGGTACCAATTGGCTCAGGTGAAGTGGTAGCTGAGGTTGCCGTGAAAGGTTTAGTAGAGGCAAGAATGCTGGCTTCTGTACTGGTAGCTTCAGAGTAAGTGCCTATTTTTTGTGTGGCAGCTACTTCAGATGAAGTAATGGCTGCAACGGTTGTAGATTCTGGAGATTTAGGACTCACGATCAATGCTGTAGCTTCAGTGGAAGTGCCTACACTTGGAGTAGTAGTTGTAGTAGCTGGCTCAGATGCAGCTGTTGATGCTGTTGGACTGGAGGGTTTGGTAGAGAAAGTAGTGGTGGCCAGTGGGGTTGTAGATTCAGTGGAAGTGCCTGCAGTGATAGTCACTGGTTCAATGGAAGTTGTAGCTGCTATTGTTTTGGAGGGTTCAGTAGAGAATGACATAGTGCTGGTTTCTGTGGTTGTAGCTTCAGAGGTAGTGCCTATAGCTCTTGTGGTAACTGGTTCAGATGAAGTAGTGACCCCAATTGTGGTTGTAGATTCTGAAAAATTAGGACGGGAGGTCATTGGTGTACCTGCATTGGAGGTTCCTGCACTTGTACTAGTCAGTTTAGGTATGGTGGCAGCTGCTGTTGCAGTAGAAGATTGAGGGGGTCCACTAATCACTGTAGGTTTAATGGTAGCACTTTCACTTATGCTACTTGGTTCATTTGAAGTACTGTCTGCCGTTGTAGTTGTAATTTCAGTGGAAGAAGTACTGGTGACTGATGGGGTAGTATATTCTGTGGAAGTGTCTGTATTGGTAGTAAACTCTTCAGTTGAAGTTGTCATGGAAGATTGAATAGATGAGATACTGCTGGCTTCCGTGGGGGTAGTTTCCGTGGAAGGGCCTATAGCTGTTGTGGTAGCTGATTCTGGTGAAGTTGTGATTGAAATTCTGGTTGTAGATTCTGGAGAATGAGGAGTGGTGGTCATTGTCATTATCTCTGCAGGAGAAGTGCTTATACTTGTACCAGTCACTTCAGATGAAGTGGTGAGAGCTGTTGTGGTGGAGGGTTGAGTTGAGACAGTAGTGGTGGGTAACACGGCCATAGGTTCAGCGGCTGTACTGGCACTTATTGTGGGAGACAGCTCCGTTGTGGCTGATGCGGCAGTGTGGGATGGAGTGGAGAGAGTAGTGGTAGCTGATGTGGAGGTTGATTCAGTGGAAGTGCTTTCAGTTAAAACAGTTGTTTCAGTTGAAGTACTGCCTGCAGTGGTTGTGGTAGGTTCACTTGAGGTAGCAGTGGTGGCCAATATGGTTGTGGGTTCAATGAGTATGTTTCCAGTGTTAGTAATTGGTTTAGTTGAAGTTACCGCTGCTGTTGTGGAGGGCTCAGTAGAGGAGGTGTTGCTGGCTTCTGTGACTGCAGCTTCAGAGGAAATGCCTATAGTTATTGTGGTGCCTGGCTCAGATGAAGCAGTGGTTGCAGTTGGGGTTGTAGACTCTGGAAAATTGGGACTCGTGGTCATTGCTGTGGTTGCCAAGGAAGTGCTTACACTTGTAGTAGTCAGGTCCGATGAAGTGGTAGACACCGTTGTAGTAGAGGGTTGAATGGACAAAGTAGTAATGGAAGATGCAGAGTTAGATTCAGGGGAAGTACTTCCAATTGTGCTAGTCAATTCAGATGATGCAGTTACTCCTGTTGTAGTGGAAGGTTGAGTAGAGACAGTAGTGGTGACTGAGGTGAAGGTAGGTTCAGTGGAAGTATTTTCAGTCGTATCAGTTGATACAGCTGAAGTACTGTCAGCTCTTGTAGTGGAAGGTTGAATACTCGCCAATGTGGCTGGCATTGAGCTGGCATTTATTACAGTGGTTAGTTCAGGTGATGCGGTTACAGCTTTTATAGTGGAGAGTTGAGTGGAGGAAGTAGAGATTGTGGATGTTAATTTGGAGGAAGTCCCTGTAGTGGTTGTAGTAGGTTCAGTTGAAAGGGTGGCTGCTTTTGGAGTGGTAGGTTCCACAGGGGCAATAATGGTGGCTATTGTAGTTGTAAGTTCAGTAAATGGGCTCACAGTTGTAGTTGGTTCCGTTGAAATGTTAGTTACAGTTGCCATGGGATATGTGCTTGTAGATGTAGTGGAAGTACTGGCACTATTTGTCAGAGTTGGTTCCATAGAGGGGATAGCTTCTATTGTATTGGTAGATCCCATGGAGGCAGTAGAAGTACCTACTGTATTTGTTACTTCCGTGGAAGTATCTGTGATTGCTGTTGATTCTGTTGCAGTACTGGTTGTCACTGTAGAGGTAGGTTGGGTAGAGAGAGTAATGGTGGTTGATGTTGTAGTAGGTTCAGTGTAAAGGCCTTCAGTAGTAGTGATCTCTGCAGTTGAAGTGGTAGAAGCTGTTGTAGTCGAGAGTTGAGAGGAGATAGTGTTAGCCAATGTAGCTGTAGATACGGTGGATGTACTTGCAATCGTAGTAGTCAGTTCTGTTAAAGAAGTGGCTGATGGTGTACTAGTTGATCCACTGGGAACACCAGTGATGGGTGAGGTGGCTAAAAGTTCAGTAGAACTTCCTGCAGCAGTAGTAATATTTTCCATTGAAGTAGTGGCTGCAGTTGTCATAGTGGCTTCAGTAGAAGTGATCACATTAAGCACTGTGACTGCAGGTTCCGTGGAAGTTCCTGCAGTTGTGGTGGTGGTTAGTTCAGATGTATTTGTGGCCACAGATGTGATTATAGATTCTGCAGAAGTGAGAATGGTTGAGACTTCAGTAGAAGGGCTAACCATTGTAGTAACTGGTGCCGTGGAGGAGGTAGCTGCAGTTGTAGTGGTGGATGAGATGGGAGCAGTTGTGGTAGCCACCGTTACCACATGTTCAGAAGTGCTTGTAGTTATAGTAGCCACAGCAGGTAAAGTGCTAGCCATTGTTTTGGTGGTAGGCTCAGTAGAGGTAATATTGCTGATTAATGTATTTGTAGCTTCTGTAGATGTGCCTGATGTGGCAGGTGTTCCTGTAGATTTACTTGAAGCATCGTTAGCAGTTATTGGGCTGGTAAGCTGCATTGAAGTGCTAGCAATCATTGGTGTGGTAATAGGCCTATTTAAATTGGATGCAGTGGTCGTTTCTGTTATACCTTCAGTGACTGTAGGTTTTGAACTTGTGGTTGCAGTTGTGCTAGTAGTACATGAAGGTGTCTCGCCTCTTTGGGGAATTTGGATAATAATGGAGGTATTCTCTTTTTTCCCATTATATACCAGGGACAATATAAGTACTCCAATCACTGTGGTTATTATACAGGCTAAAAGACAAACCAAGAAGATTTTCCAGAGCGACCAATCACTGAAGAAATTCTGTGCCACCTGTAAAGGATTTTAATAAGAATATTACTAAAGACAAAAATAAGTATTTCAAGAAAATTACTGCCTTTGATCATCTTTTGTATACCAGATTTCTTCTAGTTTTACAGTTCTAAGTAATAATATTAAGTCTTCACTCAGTTTTGTACTGGTATTTATGATGTAAGATAAGGGCTGAATTTTGTTCTTGGGTCATTTTGTTCCATATTTACTGAATCCATATTTACTGTTCCATATTGTTCCATATTTACTGTTCCATATTTACTGAAGAAAATTGGCCATGAAGTAGCTGTATTCATGGGCTCCTTATTCTGCTCAACTGATAAATGGATCTTTTCCTCTATTTCAGTGTTGAAGATAAAACACAGAGCCTTGTGACTACTGGGCAAATATTCTTTCCTGAGCTTTATACATCTCCAGCCTTTAATGTAGCTGTTTAGTAATACCAAAACCACCCTGTCTTGATTACTATAGCTATCTAGTATATTGTGAAATAGAATATTTCATTGAGATAATTTATAAACAAAAAGTATCATAATGCCTTTAAATAACAAGAAGGTACAAATTTTAACTTTTATTAGTCAAGCTTGTTTTCCTTAATATTAGTAATCATCATAAATTGATATAAATGCTCCTTTATGTCTGTCATTCAAATTGAAAAAATAATAAATGTCTTTAGACATAGAAACTCTTTATACCTTTGCTATCACAAAAAAATCTACATGTGGGGGTAACTATTGTACACAGTTATTTAAGGGACCAAAAATATTATGCAGTTAAATGTTTCTCCCTTTCATACCTGCCTGTCAACTATCAGAAATTTCACCCCTCAGTGAGCTGCTTCGTAGCTCTCCATTTTCACAACATTAATTAATAACATATCCAATTTTTTAAGTAACCTTTCTTGCAAGTCAGTATTTGGCAACATGACCTTTGGATTCTGAAAACATTTCTTGGAACAACTTCTGCCACCACTAGTTGAATTTAATTGGGTGAGATGCTTACTTCTTTTATTTGAGTCTTTCATCTATAATAGCTCATGGCAAGATTAAATTAAAACTGAAATTATTTTCTGGACTCTGAAGTACTATTCAATACCTGTAGGATTTGTTAGTGTTCCATGACAGCTTCTAATTCTTGAAATCAAAGAACCTTAAATTTAAGTCCTATACTGATATTTTTGTCATTTCTTAACTTGCAAGTTTTTAATCTACTTCTCAAAATTACATCAAAATTTGGCATAATAATTTCTATTTCAAAGGGTTTTTTGAGAAAATTAGTAATAGGAGATATCCCCTAGGAATAGGAGATGCCCCCTAGGTTATGTTTCTGCAAAGGTGGTTAAGAGCATATACAAGGGAATTTGACATATTATTTGACATATTAACTCTGCCTTTGACTAGGAATTTTAATATTTGAAACAATGTCATATTGTGTCAAGCTTCAAAACATATAAGGTCAGAGCCAGAACAGCTAAAGAATGGGCCACAGTCAGAGTCAAAGGCAGACGGGAAGGCAATGAGACATATTACCCACAGACCAGAGCCAAGAGTTCTTCTGCCACCTGTGCAATGTCTACAAATAATGTCATATACTACCCATGTGTTTGGTCTGTTGTCACATTCTCAGTACTCAAAGATAAGAGTCCCACATGCTTCTTGATTGTCTTTAATTCTCATATATTTTCTCTATGTTCTGTTTAAGTCCATCTACCAAGTCCCATATCTATCTATCTGGCATTCTTTGACGATTATAGGTTCAAAGGCTTACTTTATCTGAAAAAGAAAGGTGTTAACTTGCTGTTGTTTTTCTGTCGGTTGTGGGCCTTGAACTCTGGCCTGGGCACTGTCCCTTAGCTCTTCAGCTCAAGGAAAGCACTCTACCTCTTGAGCTACAGCACCCCTCCTGTTTTCTGGTGATTAATTGGAGATAAGAGTTTCACGGACTTTCCTGCTGGGGCTGACTTTAAACCAGGATCCTCAGATCTCAGCCTCCTGAGTAGCTAGTACTACAGGCGTGAGCTGCCGCATCCCAGCTAAGATGCTAGTTTTAATTGATCAAATGTTTTCCTCCATATATTGGACCAACGATATTTTCATGTGGATTACACCTTAACTCAGAAAAATAGTATTAACCCCATACATTACTTGACAATGTTGACGTTCTCTGTTTGGAAATTCTGAGTTTCCCAGGGTCTCTGGGTTGGTGCAGACAGCAGTTAAATTGACACCAGAATCTCCAGTTATAGCAGATGATGCAGAAAGCTGGCATGCTACATTGTGTACTTCTTGGTTTCTTGGGCTCGTGAATGGCTGTGGATTTTAAAAATAAATAAAATGGGAGAAAGCATAGAAAGCTATTATAAATAAACAATGAAAGTAATATAATTCTAACCAATCTAAATCAGATTGTGAGACATCATGAAAATGTTTTGATCCAATAACATTTGAAGCAGGACTGAGGGAATAAGTGAATTTCAAGAGAAAAATCTACTTACATCTCCATCAACCACTCACATAAGTACAGACATAAAGTTCAGAGATAAATGATTTCTTTTAACCTCATCATACCTAATTCATTTGTTAAATATAATTATGTTGTAAGTTAATAATATTTAAGGAAAGACTAAAATGAGTGGAAAAGTAAACTATGTTTGTGGATCACAAAAATATTAAAATGCCAGTTCTCGCAAATCGATAGGCAGATTCAGTATTCTACCAATTCGAATTATGTATTTTTGCAAAAGTAAACAAACTGACTCTAAAAACTTGTAATAAAATGCAACCATCCTTGTACAGCTAAAATAATCAAGGCATCATTGTGCTGTGAAGAATAGTGGTAACAGATTCACATATATGAAAAGACCCAGAACAAAAATCTAGTAAGGAAAACCTAGACAACCTAATTTTTGAAAGCCACAAAATGTTAACCTTTAGTTCAAAATAGAGAAGTTGAAGTTTTCCCATTGGGAAAAAAACCTTAAGAAAAATACTTCAACATCAACTACTCATCAGAGAAACACATGCACAGTAAAAGACAGTGAGATACCAACACATACCCATAAAAAATGATAAACCAATAAAATGAATCAAATACTAAAATAAGACACATTTTTCCTCTTTTAGGACCCAACTGGTTTTCACTTCTAGCCTTTCTTCTTTCTTCTTCTAGCCTCCAGCCCCAGGAAGTAGCAGAAGACTTTTTTTCTGGATTCTCTTGGCAGTGAAATGATCCTTGGTCATCTATCCCTAATCCACCTATCCCTCGTTGAGTGCCATTCCATGAAAATAAAATAAAACACGGCAAAAGCTGGAACTCTTTCCCTTTGGGCCTCTTGTTTATATTACTGTAGTAAGTAAATACTTTCAGGTTGAATCGAAGTTGTAATTTTCTACCTAGACACTCGTCACCTCTCAACACCTATGATTTCATTTCTTCATATTTAGTCAAGTGATATGGCAGCATCTCCCACCATAAGCCCTAGATGGGAAGTTCACAGCTACAAGTTAGAATAGCAAAAAAAAAAAAAATGAACAACTCGAGTGTTGAACAACAGGAAAGTAGATAAATTGTGGTTTATTGATGCAAGAAGAAAGTTACATAGCAACCAAAAAATAAATAGTGCCCTACGTATAACAATAAGCAACATAACAAGATAACAGGGAGAGAGCAAAAGAAGGGGTGACATTGTCCAAAAAGAAGTGTAATCATTTACCTGACTTATGAAATGGTAACTCTTCTGCACATCACCTTTACAATAACAATTTTTAAATATTTAATAATTTTAGAAGAAGCACACTTTATCATTCCACTTATATGCAATTGAATAAAATGCAGAACTTAACTCTAAAGATGAAAGGAGCATTTGCCTCCAATCAGATGGAGCACTGACTGGGAGCAGGTACAGGGGAATCTCCTTACAACCTGGAAGAGGACCTTCTAGAGCTAAGTGATGTTTACCCGAAAATGCTATGTCTGTGTGTGCATTTATATATACACACATATACATTTGTATAGGTACATAGAAATACACCAAGCTATACACTTACTATGAATTCATTTAATGTATGATTCATATGGGATCCATATCCTAAATGACCTCTACTCCTAAAGGAATATAAAAATAATGTTGCTATTTTCAATTCAATTAATACATAAGTTGCTTAAAACAATTCTTTACCAAAAGGAAACATTCTAAGTAGTTATGTTGAGCTCAGTTTAAAGAAATTGCATCCCAAGCCTATACTTCACTGAGAGACTGCCTTTTGGAATCTGTATAAATCTCTGACCAGTCTAAACATGACACTAAATCTAGACAACTAGCATCCAAATGGACATCACATTTTCAATACAATTTTTATGCAATTTTGGTACCATATTTCTTAGCTTATACTTGAAATATAACTATTTTAAACTATTTTAAATGATTTTAAAATTATTTATTATTAATGCCATCACTCCCCAAGTTGATGATATTTTAAGTTAGTGAACATCTAAAATAAAAATTCAATCATGTACATGTTGGTATAAAGAAAAAAAACTTCTTACAAATAAGTAATGATTGGATAAATGAAATTAGCTTCCATGTAAAATTTTGGTTAGAAGTAGATTGCAATTAGAAAATTGGTGGGATAAGAAACATTGTTTGTGCTGTATACATATTGGAAATAAAGGTATAAGCTATAAGAATATAACCCAGTGTCACTACCAACACTCACCAGCTGGTTTCCAGAGTGGTCCATATTCACTGTGTACTTCCCATGTTTCCTGGCCATTCTTGAGCTTCCAAAATCACAATCTTAACTCCAGAAACATTTTTCAACCTGTTCATTGCCCTTTATACCTACCACCTTGAGAAATAATGAAGTTGATTAATATCAAATAGACCATGATACATAGGTGTCAGTGTGGATTAAACTACAATAAATAATCGTTGTTTATATGGGATCCTCCTTAAACGAAGAGGCAGAATGTTAATAAGTACTTAAAACATAGTACTCTACCAGGTTCCTGCCCAGTAAGCAGAAACTGCCATTGTGAACAATTCTCCCTTCCCTGCCCCAGTGTGTCATCTCGAAGGACCTTCCTTTGGCTTCATGAATAGCCCAGGCTGAAATAAGTGCATGTTGCTTATTTCCTAGTCAGATATGACTGCTTCCCCCTTATTGGCTTTCAGACATTGGAGACTCACTTGCTGTTCATCAAATCTTAACTTTTTAAGATTCTTTTCATGTACTGCACATACTCTCTTTCTCTCCTCTGCCTCCTCTCTTTTGAAAAGTAAATAATCATATCACTTGGCTTATAATTCCTCAACTTCCAACCCAACATGAATCATTAATCTACTGAACAATTCTTGGCCTTAGGGTGCCTTTTCAACGTCTACAAATTATGCTCTAAAAAAGACGTTTCTTAGCTGCATAAATATCCTTGGCAGGGTTTAAGATAACTTCTAAATGAAAAATTATTGGGTAGTGAGCGCCCAAAACCAGTATCTAGGGACTCCCAAATAAAACCGACCATAGAGTTATGAAATGGTGCTGAGATGATACATCTAAACATATTTCTTAAGTATTCATTAACTCGCAGATATTTTTGTACAAATAAAATAAAATAAGTTGTGCTATTTTCTGTGAAATGTTTTATAGCACACTTTGTCTAAATATCTATCCAGCTTTGCAGAATCACAGGATGGTAAAGCACAAGGTCTGAGAGATCTGGAAATTTAGCCATGCCTTTTAAAAGTTGTAGAAATGTGTGTTCATAGAGGAAGTGACAAAATCACTGTATGATGAAGCTACTCTATTGCTCGTTCTATACTTGGTGAATGAAAAAGTTCACTAAGACAATTATCAAGTTGGACATAACATACATTAATATCTCTGGAGCTAGAGGTGCTAGTGCATGCCTGTAAAACCCCAATATTTGAAAGATTGAGGCAGAAAGACAGTGAGTTCCATGCCAGCCTGCAATATATAGCCTGATCATATCAAAAAGAAAAGGAGGAGGAGGAGGGGGGGGGGGGGAAGGAAGAAAAGAAGAAAGGGGAAAGAAGGCAGGCAGGCAGGCAGGAAGGCAGGGAGGCAGGAAGGCAGGGAGGGAGGGAGGCAGGGAGGGAGGGAAGGAGGGAACAAGTCTAGTTACTAGGGAGAAATCCTAGCCACTTGGGAAGCTGAGGAAAATAAAAAGGATTGAGGTTCAAGGCTAGCCCAAACAAAAAAGTCCACAAGATTCCATCTCAACCCACTGCTGACTGCAATGGTGTGCCTCTAGCATCCCAAGCTACATAGGAGCCCTAGATTAGGAGGTGAGACTAGGCAGAAAAAGCTGTGAGACTCCATCCCCATGGAGGGAAATGGGACTCTGTGGTATATCTGTGATCCTGGTGACAAGTAGGAAGATATACCTCTACCCTATGCTATTTCTCCATCCTAAAACGGCTGGAGGCATGGCTCAGTGATATTGTGTTAGCCTAAGGAACACAGGGCTGAGTTGAAACCCCATCTCAAAAGAAATTATTAGATTATAAAACGCTTATTCATTGTACTCAGTAAAATACAAACAATAGAACAGGACAAACGAACTGATATCATTGTTTAAACGAAAAGGCTTATTTTGATTTGTGATTTTGGAGGTTCTGGTCCATGATATTTTTAAATAACAAATATCTATAACATGAGGGGATTTCATTGTGATATTTCTATACATGAATGTAGTGTACTTCAAACAAATTCAGTCCCTGCACATTGCCATTCTCCCCCTCCCTCTTCCTCCATTTTTTCAGTGTTTGGTGGATTTTATTCATTATATTGTCTCTCTATATAAACACACACACACACACACACACACACACACACACTATAATGACTGCTGATCCTCTACCCCTCAGTACCTCACCCTTTCCCCAACCCAACTCCCACCCAGTCCCCTCCAGTTCCCCGTTAACACTTATGTCCTGTTACCATTTTTGTTATTATCATCCTCATTTAAGGTATATATTCATACACTGAGAGAAATAGCCTGAGAAGCAACTATAACAAATATGTTAGAGGAGATGATTGCAAATCAGTGGTTGACCTTCATTGGAATCAAATTCAAATTACAAAAGAGAAAAAAAGGAGAGAGAGAAGAGAGTGAACTGGGGAAATCTAAAAACTAAATGAATGCGTAGTTAGTTGAAGGTACATTTTAGTAACAGTACTGGGTAGCCATGCTCTAAAAAGAGACTTTTGCTATTAAATATATTCTGAACTCTGAAATCTGCCTTCAAATAATCAGATGGAAGAGAAATGAGATTGAGGACACAGAATATCACCTATAATTTGATCATTATTGAATACTACACACTGAAGATTCATTATATTTTTCTTTTGTTGTTGTTATTGTTGTTTTGGGGTGGTTACTTATTTTTTTATTGGGAAAATACCGTACAGAGGGGTTACAATTACATGGGCAAGATAATTAGTACATTTCTTATCAAACATTGTTGCCTCCTTTATGTAACTGAATGTTTTTCAAAATGAAATGGTTAAATAACAATAAAATGCTTGTTCATTCAAGAAGCCATTAATGAATTTCTGCTATACTGGGTCAACAAGCAGGGGTCTGGGTAGTATGCATGGGGCTGAGGAAGAATGAAGCCATTTGCCCTACGGAGAACAGTAAAAAACATCCATAGATTATGTATTAAGCTTTTTGTTCTGTGTCAGTTCCTTCTCTGAGATTTGCATTGTTAGCTAACTATATCCATTAGAATCCAATGAACTAAAGTAAAATAGCCCTGGACATTTGTTCTGAGGGAAAAATACTTCTATAGATAATTTCTCAAAGGCAACAGAATCCCATACAAATGGGAAGTTTTACTAGTGCTGAACATGGGCACTGGATACCAAAAAGTATTTATGTGATTTAATTTTATTGTCGTTAAATAGCTGTACAAAAGGGTTTCAAATCAACATGCCCATTTCTGAATGCGATACATCATGATCAGCATCACCCTTTCCATCCTTCTCCCCACAAGCTGATACATTTCATACTTCTAACTAACACATATTTCACTTTTATAGGAATACACACTTTACTTGAGGCTTTATTTTAAATGGCATCATGGTGCTGAGACACATACACTCTAAATTTTGCACTAGAATCCCCCAAAGTATTCCATAGATGAAATCCCAAGGTTTATGTCCTTATTTCTATAACATATGGAGTATTATCTTTCATTCTGTCACTGACAAAATATTGTCGGAGTCCTAAACTCATTTCTATTAATTAACGATTACAAGAGCCAATGTAGGATGAACAAATAAATTACCATGGACATAAATTTTCAGTATGAAATTCAAACTTTGTGTATTTTCCAAGTACACTCTTTGTTCATTTATTGTGTCACAGACCAAGGATGAGTTCCAAGTGCACCTGGTTTATTACAAGGTACAAAGAAAATTCAGGCATCTCTCGTCAGTATGCTGAGTATCTCCAAGGAAGCCTTTGATAGCTGTTGAAGTTTTTAAGCCAAAAGAATTTGGAAGTCTGTGTTAGCCAAGAATAAAAAGTCCTCTAACACCGAGTCCCTTTTATAGCCACGATAAGGCAGACTTTGTTAATATAAGTCCTCTGTCATTACAAAAGGGACCACACTGTAGTCTTAAATACTACACGGAGCTACTGTTTGGATCATATTTCCCACATCAGATGTTTTCATAGGTGCAATTTCACCATGGTCTGAGGTAATCAAAACATGGTCGTATCTCTGCTTTGTTCTTTTTATGTGGTGATAAGCAATGTGACAGCTCTAGTTCTCTCCATCTTTAGCAATTTTTTTGTAAGCCAGGATATTATTACAATTCATCATGTTGCAGGGAGTGATTAAATACTAACCAACTAGATACCAGGCTTCAAAAGTTTTAGGACAGCATCATGATTTACATTTTCCATGAACTTAAACTTTAAAAAGATAGTTGCTCGAAATGCAAAGAAGTTTTCAAGTATCAGGACAAAAATCAAACCAATTCACTGGGAGGGGGGGAGGGAGATGATCATGTAATGAGTGTGAAAAAAGCTACAAAGAAACTACCAAAAAATACTACAAAAACACTACAAACTAGTCCTTGGAGCCAATTATTCTTTTGCATACCTCCAACAAATACAAAGTGACAACTAAATTAAGAGGTCATTTTTTTTCTTTCCTTGACATATGGGAGAGGATGCAGAGAGCAGTTCTGATATGGGCACAAGTCACAGAAACAAAAGTCGCCTTCCCGGCTGAAGAATGTAGGGGGCCACTAAGTGAGGCCACTCTATACCCAGGTGACCTCTGAAGGAGCCAGGGCTTGTCATTACCCTCATTGACATCATGGAGAGAAGTTTCCTCCAGAACATACCACACTGATCACCCTTAATCCTCCTAATCCCTTCCAGAATGAACTATCATTATCCATTTTCCTGATGAAATACCAAAGTATTTAATGATAGCTTATGAGTCCCAAGAAAAGTTTGCTACTCCCCCATTTATTCACCCATGTTGTTGTTAAATTCCTACTCTATTCTCTAATATGTCACATTAGGTGCCTAGAAAAATTAGTAGATGTATAGAGATCTTTACCAACTTATTCTTTTTTAAGGATAAGTAAAACAATTTAAAAAACAACTTGGAGACTCTGTGAAGATGTGCCAAGATATATCAAGGCAGCAGGAGCAAGAAATAAACTTTGACTGTCAGCAGACATTACAATATTCAGGCTACTAGTTATGGTAGCATAACCTAGAATCTCCA